TACGATGTAAAATAACATTTTAGATTGTTCTTGATCGACAAGGCATTTTGTTTGCTTCACGTGATTAGTAACATGTATTAATGAGACTGATCAATGAAGTGAAAGTTTTGGAAATAACTAATTCATAGACAGAATCATATATATATATATATATATATATATATATATATATATATATATATATATATATATATATAGTGAACTACATTAAAATGAAATGAATAAAATAAATAATTACTCATTTGTAGTATATGAAAGTGAAACTCAGTATTTTGCAACATATTTTATTATCTTAAATGTATTACTTTAGTGCTGATATTTTGACTGAATTTTGATCAGTTTTAGTTGGCCTTATTTGTATTCCGTGCAGATTGCCTCGATATAGTCTTTATATCACCATTCTTATGGAATTTGATTAGAAGTGGGATCCAAAAGGTAAGTTTCATTTTTATCTCAGAGTGAATATCAACTGTGAGATGAAGGTAGATCCTAATGACAGTTCCCACATAGGACAAAATGCCTGTCCTAGATTCCACTGTTAGTTACATTTCAACAGTTCTACAAAAAACATTTTTTGTTTATTTCACTTCGATGATTTGCAGGTAAGTAGACTTATGGCTAAATACAACAATTAATTGATTGTTAATAGTAATCAGTTGAAAGACTAAGTATTTTTTGTGAATGTAACTAGAGTACAACTCTTGAACGAAAAACAACTCTACGTATGAAATAACAGAGAATTGTTTATTGGAAAAATAAGAATTAGCAGCATGAAAATTTTTCAATGCAAAAAACAAACAAACAATGTTTCTTCTATATTTACAGAGGATTATTTAAGCACCTACTCATGAAATTCAAAAAATGAGAAATCGGGCATGTTAGTTATGTTTTGAGAAAAATGATCACATAACATAAAAGTTGTAGTGTTCTAGTATCAACATGAAAAGGCCGTGTACTATAAAACTGTACATAGATAAAAATTATATATTGTGGTAAATGGTGTGCTTTTGTAACCAATATAAATTGAGAGCATTATTCGAGTTTGAATGCTCTAAGCAGACTACATTAAGGAAAGAGATGCTTCCAAACGTGACTAAGATTAGGCTTGAGTAAATGACTAACAAGATTAGTTTTAGAGTAGGAGACAAAACTGATGTGTACACATAGCATAAACCATTTGTGAAAATTCGTTTGAGAAACAGAGAAATTTGAAACCCTCTCCCCCATTAGGCCAAACTTAAAAAGATTATTAGTGTGTGTCATTAAATGTATTTATAAGTTACACTCTAATCCATCTCTTGATTGGAATACATGTAGTTGTAAAACTGTATACATTTAGTGACTAATAACGGATTTGTACTGGTTTCGATGCTCCAGAGCTATGAGAGCGATAGGAAAAGATCCAAATAATGTTAAAAAACAACTGCTACGACATTACTGTATTTATACACTAAAAAGGAATAATGTTAACAATAATAAAATCCTAAAGACGGGAAACTAAAAGATATACATACATAAGTAAACGAAATTACGTCATAATAACAATAGTTAAAATTGAATATAATTGATGTGAAAGCACCAATAAAAGTAATTGAAGTAGCAATAGTATCTAGTTACTACTAACAGAGGACACCCATTCAACTGTAAGAGAAAAATACGAATTTATGAAGTTGACTAAATAGAAAAACAAACATGGAGTACTTCACTACAGTAAAAGTACGTATAATTGTGCATGAATGGCAAAAAGTCAGCAAACACAAAACAAGACACAACGAGAAAAACACATCAAAAGATAACAATCATTGAAAATACAGTAATATATCAATCAATGTTTTTTTAATATTTTTGCAAAGAAAATAATGAAAGTGCTATGAAAACTTAGTAAAAGACTTTGGATATCAAACACTAACATAGCGAGTAAATAAAACAGGATAAAATCACAAAAACTACCGGTGGAAGAAACAAAGCAATAACAATTACGTTTTTATATTTTGTATATGGAGCAACAGAACTACAGATCTATTACGTTTACCACATCTATCAACACTTATATATATGTACACACACATTTAAAATATAACTAAACTACATATATGTTTATATACACATACATACATGTACATCCATCATTACAACGTAAGTTGGACAACGAAGTTTTATTTTGTTTTTTTTTGACAAGAAAGAAAATAGATAAATAGCAAAACACAAAAAATTAGGTTGTATATTGTAACAGGATAATAAATGCAAATATTATATATATATAATATGCAAATGATCTTTGTTTTATTTACGAAGTCCGATCAAACCGTTCAATTTTTCGTTTTTCATGAATAGATTCTAGTAAAAATCTCACTTTCTAAATTTGTGGCTTAGTGCATATATTTTCTAAAACAATAATAGGGCTGTGAATTACTCGAGTTTGCACAGACTGATTTTCGTTTGGTGTTAAAATTTTACTTGACAAATAATATATTATTTTTATGGCACTAGTTTAATTAAAGAATGATATTTTGTGAAAATATTAGAAATTCATAAGGAGATACGAAACCTTGAAATCTTTATTACGTATTTTATGATGATAATCAATACAAAAATGGATTTAAAGTGTTACTGACATTTCCAAAATACATATTGGTAGAGATAGAATGTAATGATGGACATTTCTAGCCCAGATAGATGTTATGGTCAGAGGTTAAACAAACAATAGTCGATAGAAATAAAAAGACAAATCATGTTGATAAAGCCTCCGAAGACAAGATTAGAGAATAGGACAAGGTGACTTAGAGCTTGCGGAATAATTATAACAGCTCCATGTACGGTAAATGCGAAAGTTGTCCAAAATCACAATTAAAGGTTCCTAGTTGAACTGCCAAATCCAGAGGACGTAACTCAACAATATATATATATATATATATATATATAATCTGTAATTACACTGAGATGGTACATCAATGTCCTTAAAAATTTTGATTAGTAATGATTACGAGTAAAATCCATACTCTAACCAGAACTCATACCAACTTTGTCACTAAACTTAGCGTGCTTCCAAAAGTCTTCCGAATGTGGAGGCTATTCATACATCAGTAAATAACATTGAAGTAAAGCTTCTGTTCTTATTTAGTGTTTTATTTGTAACTTTGGAGGACCAAGTTTAAGAGAATTGTGCGGAACTATGAAGAGACTAGGAAGTCATTATCAAGCATTTGAGTACCACACACATCAAATAAAACTGAAATATCAAAACCAATAATTAATAGATAATCAATGTAAGATGAGATTTATGGAAACTTCAGGTTCATAGAATTTTTTTCGATCAGAACATTTGAAGCAACTTAAGAAAATCAGCAGAGGTATCGTTAAAATAATAACACAGTACATAAACTGATGCCGATGAGAAGTAAACTTTGTTAATCACTTGTATAAGTGAATCTACTTATATATATATAACCTAATCTTGGACGAAATGTGATGATTTACTTTTTCTCATATAGTGATAACAAGTATATACATGTTCACAAAATACTATCTTATTTTATGAATATGTTTGATTATCTATGAACGACTTTATGAAAAAAAATCTTGAGAAAACATTAAATGTAAGTGGTAAGAGATGAGGTAATGTATTTTGATCAGACTGACCTTAAATGAACCCAAAAATTATACAGAATAGTTAGCCAGAAAAGCTACGCGAAATCTCAGACGGTATACATTGTTAGAAGAGAGGAGAAAGTGAGAAAAAAGATCAATAACTGTACATTGAAAGTAAGATAAAACAAAATTGGTGGTAAGAATTACAGACATTTCAAATGTTGAAATATTAAGGTCATATAGGCTGCTGTTGCATAACAGTAAAGTATTTATTATTCACACTTTCAAATAAAAGCATTATGCAGGTATTGTCTTATATTGAGAATTGATCAATTGGTACATAGTTTAGACAGAAATACTAATGCGAGCATTTATGTTTTGTAAATGCTAAGTTGCATTTATTTATGTAAATCGAAAGAATAGGACGGTAACTTTTTGCTATATAGAGATAACAAAGAATATATAAGTGATAATAACAAGTTGTGTACTTAAACTGGAAGATTTATTCTTAAAGTTAGCTTAGTTCTTAATACCGGTTATATGACGAATTGAGGAAGATGGTGGCAATCAGTTACTAGGAAAAAATTATGTAGTTTATAATCTATCAGAGTCTTGTGTTGATTTCAATATATGTGTTTTCATACAACTATGTGAAGAGGTTTATGAGTAGCATCTCTATGTAAGCTGACAGATTGGTTAATAAATAATATTTATGTCCTTACATACGAAAAATCAGTAAGGAGGGAGCAAAAAATATCCGGAATTGTCAACAGATAATCTTGAAAACCTATCACGTACACAGATTTATATAGTATTTCAAATCGTTTTTTTAATTTCAACAGGGTTTTTTAAAATAACCAAAAAAGTTTTAAAAAAATTTTTCTACGTTTTTTGAAATAACCGCAGCGTTTTTAAAAATCTTTTTTCATAATCCTTACATGCCAGAGATGAATAGAAAAAAACATATTAATTTCAAATGAGAAGAGACAATGCTTCGTAAAAAAAGTTATTGAAGACGGATATAGTGTCAGAGGTGCCGCATTTCTTGTGGGCGTGAAATATCAGGCTGATGAAAATGTTATAAGGCTATATAAATAGTTCTAAAAAACGCAGACAGAATTCAAAAATATTTTTGGTTACTTTAAGAAACCCTGTTGAAATCTAAAGAAAACGAGTTGAAGTACTATGCTGTTATGTATGCACTTTACTTATAAATAGTAAAAATCTTCATTTTAGCATTGACTTGTTAATAAAAATAGCCACATGAACAGAGGAAGTAATTAACCAATGATTATTTGGTTTGTCAACAATATATTCATCAGTGCATAACAGTCATTGGAAAGTCAATTAGTCAGATAAATAATGATACCAATATGAATGAAATAAAACCATGGTACAAATAATTTACTTACTTTCATCTTTAGACTTATCTTGATTTGATTTAAATAATGGAGAAATCTCATTCTTAGAAATTAAACCAATTGATTTGGACGAAATATTAAAGTTCCCTTTTAGACAATTGTATCTATTATATGGGGAAAATTATAGCGTACACAATTACTACTTTAACAATGTTGAAGTTTGAAATAATCATTATTAGGATAAAATGACTGGGAAAATAATTAAATACAAAGGTATAGTTTAAAAATATAGAAACTATTTTGTTAACTATTATTTATTAGTATAGGGTTGTGAAGATTACTGAAGTTAGGAATTAACACGGTTGAACGCCGGCTCAGTGGTTTAAAGGTTAAGGGTTAGAGCGCAAGACCGAAGGTCCTGGGTTAGATTAGCGTACGCGAGGTCGTAGTAGATGCGCACTTTGAGGGAGTCTTATACTAGGATGAAACGGTCGTCCAGTGCTTCTGGGTGTTCAATAATAGTTGAACATTGACCAGTTCGAGATTTCAGTGAAATTATTATTTAATTTATACAAAATCTGGCAGAACCGAGCACCAAAATTATTATGTCCTAAAACGTTTTGTGTGGGCCGTGATACTGTCTGGGTGCCTAGACAGAGGTAGGTGATCTCCTTCGAAGGCTATTCTCAAAGTCTTCAACCTAGAGGTCTAATTTAAAAGAAGATGGAGTATCGTCAAGAGATACCGCCTCACGAGAGCCGGTGGCAAAATAGGTTTATAAGCCATTTGTTCCCTCAGGTTTCTAAAGCACGTATTCACAATTTGTCTGAAATCAAGGCTTCTCAACTCCCTTACATGAACCCTTAATATTCACCAAAACGATTTAAGAGTCTGATGTTCGCTTTTTGCTTCCTCACTTTTTTAAACAATACTTTCACCGTCTGAAGGCAATTAGTAGGACTTCTCTGGTAGATGTTATAGGCGAAATGTCGCATGGTAGCATTCTGAACGGGAGAGCAGATTCTTTTCTTCGTTAGCTGTACCAGGGCAATAACACAAAAGGTAAGTTAAAAATATAGGAAGTGTTCCAAAAATAGTTATATTTACACTCTTAAATACCAGTGGAATCTAGCTGGGTAGTAGAAATAGTTGTTGTCTGATCAACTAATTAGATCAATTAAAAAACATATTGTATATTTATTAAATTAAATAATGGACAGAAAGGCTTTTGGCGCAAAAGTAAATATTTCTAACCAATGAGTAAGTTAAGCATATAATATTACTGAACTGTGTGCAGCTAAAAATGGAGTGCAAAAAGTATCAGTGAGGTAGGATAATGTCAATTATCTGGCACAAATAAAAATTGTTATATTTGTAACTTCTAACATAAAAGTATTGTGACGACAAGAACTCCTATGTAATAAGTAGATGAGAGGAAATTTTTTGTGCTATTTGGGATTTTATCCGAGATTTCAGCATCATATCAGTAACGGTGATGCAGATACATTTACATCCTGAGATTTTGTTATATTCCGATTTGAATAATAAATGGTAACTGTTGGGATCTATTTGTGGACTACTAATACTATAAATATATTTTTGTTGTATAATTGTTAAGTAACTAAACTATGTATATTCACATTTCTCTTATTATAAGCTTTATTTTGTCCCATAGACTACTACTATACGATTTACCATTCGTAAGTTATGGCTAGTCTATTACTTACAGTCTCCCACAATTACAGTCACTTTTGGCTAGATCTTGTACAAATGTTATTTTCCATTTTATGGTGTGATATCGTCTGTTTGGCTTGTATATAAACCCAGTATGTGATTTATATCGCAAAGGCTGAGATTTGTGTTTTGGACTCAACAAGTAGGGCTAGGTAGGAAGAAGGATCGATAAGGACTCTAGATTGCTCGTATGAGTTTATGCGTCATTGGTTCGACCAATAGGTCACTGTTCTCTAATTGGCGGTATCATTACGTTTTATATAATAATAGGACACAAGGCCACAAGTTATAACAGATTTAAGGTAATTTTATGCTTTTTATTACGTAAACTCATTCTTCTCGAATTATATTTTTCATAGCCAATCTTTTTTACGATCATTGGTATCGCCATTAACACTGCTTTTACTGTTTCGGAATTTATAGTGATAATTTTATCTCACTGTGTTGGTGTAATGTGACAACGTGTGAGAATGCATATTTGAGTAGAGCTTTTACGTTACTAATGACTGACTGGTCTTTTGATTCACAAATCGAAAACCATAAATAGCATCCAGAAATAAAGGACATTGATAGTTATTACATGTAGACGTTTGCGGTTTTTCGTTTACTGACTCCATAATTGAACGAATCGATACACATATGAAAATTAAATGACGAAGTTCGTTCTATAATGGGGTTTGATGAAAATTATTTCTAGTAACTATAAAAATCCAGTTTTTAACAATATATCGAAATGTAATGCTAAAGTACGCTTTTGATGGATTATCACAAAACTGAGCTGAAATAGCAACAGAGTAAGAGATAAAATAATGAATTTTTCTGAATCTGTAAATTAGCGTAATTCAAAATTTTTTACCTGCACATATGTACGGTGACCTTATTATCGTGTGAGCAAGAGCAATACCACCTGACTGTAAGACCTAAGTAAATAGAGTACCTTTGAACTCGTGATAGAACGAATGATAATCAAGTGATTCGACCAATCATTCACAAACCTATAGTGACAAGATTTCATAGTATCATTTTTCAGGGAGGGAGCATGTTAGAAAAGAGAGCAAAAATTATTCAGCTTACCTAAAATATGAGCTACTTAGATTCTAGTTTATATCTAAGCAGTAATAAACTAAAATTGACAGTAAGCATACGTAAAATACATGTTGAATCTTAATATAAAATAAATATTACAATTTTTCATTTTGAATGTAACGTACTCTTTTACTTCGGAGTTAGATGACACAGATGAATTGTTAACTTCGTCATCAGAAATCTTTAAAGAATTGATAAAATGACAAGAAAAAGATAAAAATGAAGTGATTAAAAACAGTATTTTCACGGAAAGTATCAGTGATAGTAAACCTGACAGAATGTTTTAATATAGGGTATCAACTTGCTCATAAAATTGCTATGTCAGAACGAAGATTGAAGGAATGGTAGCTCCCAGAATTAATTTCTGGATTATTATCATTATATATATATTCTTATTATATGATTATTAAGAAACTAGACTACTATATCTATGTACTCCGTTTATAATTACCTTTCGGTTAACCCATAAACTAATGTCATACGACTGACTATTCCTATTTTGTTGCCAGTCTATTATTTACAGTCTTCTCTACTCACAGCCACTTTTAGCCTGTTCATGTATAATTGTTATTTTTATATTATGGTGTGGTTCCGTTATGTATGTCTGTATATAAACCACGTTTGTTTGAAATACAGATATGGTAGAGGCTGGGTGTTGACTTATGGATTTAAGGCTGGAGTATAGGGAGGACCTTGTGCATGACGAACCAATACAAACTTAACTGCCGGTTGAATGTTAATGGTGCCAATGGGGCGTGTAATTGGTTAGGTCAGAGACACCAAACCATAGAGTAAATAAAAGGCCAAATTAGAATTACGATTATGATTAGTGATTGGACGCGTGATATAATTCAGCGGGTAAACCACGCATAACATAAATAGATCATAGTAACAGTTGCTGGTGCTAAACTCATGTCAAGAAAATAGAAAAGAAGTACAATACATTGAGAACGATACGCAATGTAAACCATAATTGTTTAAAGATAGAATGATTTAATAATTTATTAGAGTAAATAGTCAGTCACTTATTGAAATAGAGCATAGTAAGGGTTAGCATTGTTCGAATTTGCGAGATCGTATTAGGTTGACGAAACTGAAAAGATGAATTTCAAGAAATAATGTAATAGCAATTGGAATGAGAATGATTGGACACTTGAAAGTTAATACGAAAAGACAGACTAACAGTGTTTAGTGGCCATTTATCTTTTTTTAACGGTTGATTGAAAAGCGTTCTTTCAGATTTTTCATAGCACTGCCACCTTATTTTTATGGTGCATTTCTTGATCCTCTAGTATTTAAGCTTTTTTTCAGTATGATTATAAATAAGTAGGAAACAGACCTGTTAGTGAAAAAGGTTCATTGTTATAAAACATTATTGGTAGTATATATCGACTATTTGCAGGAAGATAAGTGTATTATTTGGGTAGCATCATTGATGAACATGGTGGATTTGATGCAGATGTGAAAGCGCGGATCGGTAAAGCAAGAGCAGCATATTTACAATTGAAGAACATCTGGAACTCAAAGCAACTGTCAACCAACACCAAGGTCAGGATTTTCAATACAAATGTCAAGACAGTTCTACTGTATGGGGCGGAAACCTGGAGAACTTCGAAAGTCATCATCCAGAAGATACAAGTGTTTATTAACAGTTGTCTACGCAAAATACTTCGGATCCGTTGGCCGGACACTATTAGCAACAACCAACTGTGAGAAAGAACAAGCCAGATCCCAGCGGAGGAAGAAGCGCTGGAAGTGGATAGGACACACATTGAGGAAAGCACTTAATTGTGTCACAAGACAAGCCCACACATGGAATCCTGAAGGTCAAAGGAAAAGAGGAAGACCAAAGAACACATTACGCCGGGAAATGGAGATAGACATGCGAAAAATGAACAAGAATTGGATGGAATTAGAAAAGAAGACCCAGGACAGAGTGGGTTGGGGAATGCTGGTCGGCTGCCTATGCTCCATTAGGAGTAACAGGCGTAAGTAAGTAAGTAAGTAACGAGTGTATTAATCAACCAAGGATAACTTACTTGAATTGAGCTTCGGGAAGGTGACCTATGACGTGAATGTGTAATTGTGATAGATCTTTGTAAAACTGGGCTACCAACAGGAGATGTTTTGTGAGAAACCTTGACAACAGGAGAAACAAGTAACTCATGGCATTCACTATCGGAATCACTAATGTTACTTGGTGTGTGTTTGGATTTCACGGCTGCTGATTCGACAGAAAAATCTCCACCTGTATCCGATTCGCCATCGTTCAGTTCATCTGAAATGTGTAGTTCATTCGAAACATTTTATGAGAAAAATAGTTCGCTTTTATTATCATTCAAAAAGCTTTTCTGCAACAAAATAAATATTTCAGCAAAGAAAATTTTCTTTTCAACAATTTCATTTTCAAAACCTGCATAATTGTATTTATAAAAGGTAATCTATGTGATGAATAAGCACTTTACATTAATATGCCTGGGTATAATGGGTGAGAATCATGATGTTTAGTTCGTATTAATGGGTGAAACCGATTAATTATTGATAAATGAATAATCATACTGACTAGTAACTACAGGACATAAAAGACACAACTACAAAATTAGAGATATGGTATGATTTTTCAAGTAGATTGATGGAGGTCAAAATAAATGAGGACAGGAATTGATTAAAGGTGAGTGATCATATGATAATAGATAGAATGAATAAATTATTGGTGTAATATATTCGGATGTAAAAAAGTAGATTATATAACATGTGACTTAAAAAAACGAGGGTAATAAACAGCAACCAAAAAATTTTATTAAGTAGTGCGTAAAGAAGAAATATAGAGCAAACTCAGGCTACAGCATAGAAAGAGATCTCGGAAATAGTTTTCTATACATAAATATAGCTTCTTCTTAAGCATTTCCAATGCTTCTGTAATATGAAGATGTGTGTAGGCGTTTCGGTAGAACCGATTAGATTTTATAAATGATTTTGGACGCTGAGTCTGATACTGCATGATCATCATCAACTACATGCTAGAGAACAGACGATTTCACATACTTTCATATTGTCCTTTACAGAGTCATATTATCAGGTGCCCAGCAATGTGTTGGGAGGTTCTCCTTGATAAAAGACATGTGCACCTAGGTCCGCCGGTGAAGATGAATGAAGGAATTGATGTCTAATCGATCAAACGATAGAGCTAGTCCTTTACATATATGTGCACTAATAAGCTGATAGTGTAGACAACTCACATAGGAACTAGATAAAATGTTTTCCATGATGGATTAATCAAACAATTAATCAAGATCTTGTCCGCAATATTATCCTTAAAATCCAGATCAATATGGATATTATCGTTCTGCATGCTTATGACCCCTAGTATTATTCATGCTTATTTCAATAAACTTTGGAAGATAACCATTATCAATAAAATTAGCTTCAAGTGATCCTCACTTATCAGAAACATGAATACTAACACACAAAACTTGTTCATCACATTAATTATCTGGTATTAATACGGCTGTATAGCTTTTTAAAAATGAATCCACAGAAAAAAATTTCTTTGCTAAATTTTTTATCTATTCCTTAGTGGATTTATAAATTTCCTATAATAGCTTTTCTTCCTGAAACCTAAAAGTGTTAAGACTATGTCGATAGCACTTCAATAACAATTCCTATAGAGACGAATTTCTACTTTAGTTTTAGTTACAATCCTTATAAAAAACATTGTAAGCAGTACGATGACAAGTTTACCAAAGTAAACTAGTGTAGGTTAAAACTAAATTTATCATGAACCGATAAAATATATAACAGAATCTCAATTAATGATTATGGTACAAATATAGGTAATTACACTTTAATACAAAAACAAATCTAAGTAAAGAACGTTGATAGGGTATTCGAAAATCTATAACAACTTAGAGTGGAGATCAATTGAGATAGGAATTCATGGACTTAAAAAAACATCGACTGATTGAATTCTTCAATATAAAATACCTAGTTCTGTTTTGAAATATAAATAGAGAGATGTATTACTTTTGTCTTTCAAACATAAATTTAACAAAGTATGTATTTTAATTAACAAAGATAAAATTTAATGAAATAGCTTTTGACGTAATATAGTTAGATTTCAGTCAATACGTTTGTGGATACTTTCAGATTTTGTTTTGAAGTTTAAATAGTTGATGTTAATGTAAAAAAACATCAAGTGGTTATATTAGTGCTCTCAATTACAAAATCGAAAACGACTATTAGTCATATCAAATATTGTCAATTAGATTTTTGTTGAAGTCAATAGGTTATTCTACTAATAATACAGACAAAATTCACTACCGACTTGTGTGATGTCTTTTTATAGCATTTTATTAGGAATTTTGCTTTATTCTATTAATTTTTTGTAAGTAACTATTAGTGGAACATTCTATATTATCTCATGTTGATTGCGACGCATTATCAGTTATAACAAAAACTTTTCTTCCATCCTAAAAATACAGATTATTCTGTAGACAATGTCTGAATAAATTAAATCACTACTTTACACGTATAAATAACGGAAAGGTTACATAAAAATCAGTGTATTTTATGTTAATTTATACAAGTGTCTTTCTTATCAATAATGTTTAAAATTAATTAACATGATAGATACATATTTAGTGATGAAATACCAAGTGATAGTCACAGACACCATATATTACTTTTGAATTGAAATGAAGGGAGTCGGATTGCTTCTAACATAAAAAAACAACATTTTTCTACTAAGTGTATGGGAGATGGTGATCCAGAATTTACACCTTTCAAGTGTGAGGTAATGTAATAACAATTAAGTTATTTTCTGAATAACGTTAAACATAAAAAAACAGTACCAAAGTGACAATATTAAAAAAAGGAAACAACTGTATAGGCAGAGCATAATAAGATTTTAATATAAAGTCAAATAATTAATGATCAGAAGAAAGCTTCACATAATGGATAAATTTCTAAAACTCCGAATCCAAGTGTCTAGTGAATTTCTAGGACGTAGAGGGTTATAATAACTGGCAGTACATCTTCATGTTTAGTTCAGCTGTTGTAACAACGAGAGATTTCTTTCATATTGTTTTAAAATATCCATATCATGATTTCTCTGGCAAAACAAATCAATTATCACAAATATTTCTTATACTTCCTGTCTAGCAAAACAAGCGAATCGAGTTGTTGAGGATGCACAAAACGGTTAACTATACTGTATAACAAACCCAAACAAAAATGAAAGAATTGAAGTAAGTAAAAATAAAACAGTATATGATGTTTGACAGAACAAGATTCAGGTTTTAACCAGTGGCTCGCAGGTTCAAACCTCACTCCACATTATTTGGTTTGACCTACCAGGCAGTAACACTAGCAGACACATAAAGTACGTGGCTTAAATTAGTAAATCAGTCACAATGTTATGCATCATAAGAAAAATACCACAAGCTCCTACCAAATTCATCCATTTTTCTGAAGACCTGAACAGTAATCGGTTTGTTGGCCAAAACTAACCGAGCCATCAAGTTTTCTAGATCCTCTAAGTTTGTAACTTGACTGGTGTTTTTGTCAGTATTCTTCCGATTAGTACCCAGGTTTATGCCATCAATAGAAGCCAATATGTCACCTTTTTGAAATTCACAGATATCTGCCGAACTACCTAGATGTTATATGTTAATGAAACAAATGTAAACGAATAGAGAATGTTTAAGAAATGTTAAATAGAATGGATTGATTTATCAACGAGCTACAATAAACTCACTTACCTGAGTACTATGCAAAAAATGTATGGTTTTAGTTATTTGGTTACTCAGATTTCATTTCTAATGGAAATTCTCGAAGAACTCATCCTCAAAACTAAGATATAGATCAAATAACAAACAAACCCTAACTAGACCACGTATAAAAACCTGGAAGCATTGAAAAGCCGTCCTGCTCGCCGACCCTTAACCTCTAGACTACTGGACCGGTATCAGATGTTAATAGTGCCTAAAATGACACGGCCGTCCAGTGCTTTAAGGTCTTCAGTGCCATTTAGATAAGATCGGTTTATAATTTGATCTAGGAAAATTCTGCAATTTCCACTACCCCCCTAACACTAATAAAATACGGACATTTCTCTTTATCGCATGATAACATAACGTAGTCTCTTGATACACACAGTAAAATAGTAAAACTCAGGAACGTAATGAAGTATTATAGTTGTACACAAAGTTTGGAATATTGTGTGTTGATGACCACAAAGATGAGGGGGAATACGTCATGAAACGCTGAAGGAACTCTACAGTAAATTAGTTTTTCAGAAGATTCTTGTACAATAAGTCCAGAATTTGGTGAAATTTTATTTCAAAATGTTAACTTGGAAATATTTAGAAGTTAGTGCTAATCCTGACACATTTTAGATGAAAAAAAATGACCACCCAGTTAAGTAAGGGTGGTAAATTTCAATATTTATATACGTGCATTGAAATCAATCTTACGAGACAATTAGATTTTTACTGAAAAGAAAGAACTTAGTAAATGGTAAAAATGTAACATCCATATCATGAAAAGTTTAACGCTTTCTGAAGTAAAAACAACGGACAAAAGACTTTCAATGATACGACAATAGTAATTTAAAGTTGTTTTGCAGTTACCCCCCTACCGAGATTGTCACAGAGATCCATGTGATATGTCACAATTAGTTTGCTTCGGTTAAATCCACCTTTAAAACCCGACTGTGCAATTTAAGTTTGCGAAACTCCTTTCGACAGCTTTATATACTTGAAAATATTATAATGATGACTAAAAAACAGGTTGAAAAAGTAAAGTCGTGTGGTCATTGCAAGCAAAATATGTCACCAGGTAGACTGGGGAACAGAAAATTGATCGGAAACTACGGAGAGAGCTATCTAGTGTAATTTGGATATCATGATACAAGACGTCAGCAAAAAGACAAAAGTAATGTCTGAACTAGCAAACAAACACATCAAAGTTACCAAACTTTTTCAACAGCACTAAAGCAGAAAATTAATACACAGGGATATGTTGCGAAAAATCTGTACTCAAGATCTAAGTGTAGATAAAAAAAGCCCATTAATTCAGTCTCGTAGATAAGTAAATTAATCAACGCACTCACTTAATTCATTTTATATTTGTAGACTATAGTTTGGTTAAGCTATGGATCATATTACGAATGATGTGAAAGTCAACCTATGTGTGTTTGAATTTCTGTTACTAGAACCACTACTCTGTAATTTACCTTGACAATTTCAGATTGCTACGTCAGTGAGGAATGACAACCTGAACCGATGTATACATGTGCCAGGTTCCACGTTGCGTATTACTGACTAACTCAGTCACAGTATATAGAAGGTACTATATTTTTCTAGTTTTTGCTCAACATTTGCGCGTCGCAGTTAACTACTGTGACATAATCCAAGAGATGAAGTTACAAATATAGTTGGACGAGAATTCTGTGTTCCACTGTTAATCTATGTCACTTATTTACTAAAAGTAAGTTCCAAATATTGAGGGTTTAGGCCATTTTTATGTATGAGAACTACGATTAATAGAAAACTAGTTAAACGAAAGTAGATATGGGGCATTTCAATTCAGAAACTGTTTCTAAAAATCAATCCCACTAATAACCAATTTATTGTATCCACTCAATTACTAGTCGTCACCAAATAATAAGAATTAAAATTTTTTGAGTAAAATAAAAAGATTGAAAATTATTACGATGGACTGTTCGTGCAGTCCAGAGGAACAATTTTAGAGTAAAGATAGGCAAATAAATTACCTTGGGTGAAGGAATCATCGATAGGTATCGCTTATGACGAATGTAAGTGGGAAACAGTGTAATAAACTTTGTATACAGACAATAAGAGAATAAGATAAGTGAAATTAGCTGCTGTATAAATTATTCGCTGAATTTTTTCGTCAATCCTATACTATTTCAAACGTAAAAATGAATGGGAAGAGAAAATGTCTGTAATACACGAAAACATGTGATATATAGAAACCTACCAATTTTAACGCGTTCAACAACAAAAGGGGAAGTATTTGAAGGACCTCGTGCTTTTATTGTTAGTCCCCAATGAACCTCTGATACTCCAGGTCTTGATGACAAACGTAATTTGCATTCTGAATAGTCATTATTTTCAAGACTCGCATCAAAAGGCAGTTTGGTTTCCGGGGTGACTTCAACGTTGCAATTATTTGGTTTAGAAATGAGATCACGAATGACTTCGATTCGATTATATTTGGCATGTTTTTCGACAGAATTTTTGTTTGGAGAAGAAATATCCATTATTTTGTCCGTAATATTACTCTACAAACATAAAAATATGAAAGTTATTGATTATCTTAAGCGTTATTTTACTTCTCATTGGTAAATTATCATCCGTAAGAAATTTCAATATGTTTACATTGTTTTAAATATTTCGATAAACTATCGAACTTGCCAGTTTTTCCATTTAAAGGAGACGGAAATTTTCGAGGCAGATTAAAGATGAGAAAAAGCTGACTATATTTTCAAAACTGGAACTCTAAACGTCTGCGTGCATATATGATAGCTTTTAACGTACGGAGCTGAAATCTGTTTTTGCATAGACTTTATGAATTATTTTTGAGATATATTTGACTACAGAAGAGAAAAATCGTCTACCAATGTGATTTATAAAAGTTTGGACATTTCACTAGTTTTGAAATTATTCAGGTATTCGTCACGGTATTAGTGAACTAATATATCAATTATTTCATCCAATATACTTACAAACACAAACTCATTTGACTGGAAAACATGACACGATAATGTAATCCTTTATATGTTGTATCAAAGAACAGATTTCGTAATGTTATCCAAGTCAGTGTTTTTAGTATAATACGTTTCGCTAAAGGCCGATTTAAAGCTATTTCCAAAATTAGGTTATTCGATTTAATTTGAATAGACTCTTTCTTTTCTGAAATTCAAATAATCATAAATGATAAACAACCATCATTATCCACAATCATAGAAATAATCAGCAAAGAGTTCAGAAATCATTGAGTAGGAACAGTCGGTGAAGCATGCTTCAACTTGTTGAGAAACCAACGAGATGGATGTCTAACCCCCTTCACCTGTTTAAAAAACTTTGGTCCTGTAATTTCATTTAAATATTGTTGATCTTTCTCATTACCTGTTCTTCCCCTTATTTTTTAGTATTAAAATTAATTGATATAATTCTATTTCATTTTCAGACAAAAAACATCGATGAGTAAATACAAGATCAAATTATTCGAAAGGTACTGAGTACGTATATCGCATGGTTTTAGTTAAACTTCATCTTCCATTAGACTTTCAAAATGTAGTGATGTAATCAATTGACTTCGATTATTTTTAATTTCAAATTAAGCTAAGGTGGTTGCAATTTTTTAAACATTCATAACACTTCTCAACTGAGATAAGAATGGAACAAAGTAAAATTGTTGTGACTTCAAACGGCCTAACGGGAAAATATGTCACTAATTTTCTATCTTATGTATATCAGATTGGAATGTCAACGGACTATCCCAGTTGGACTATGAGACCGATATTTATGAATGCTCACAACAACCACATATTAAAACGCCTAGAGAGGAAACAACATAAAGGGAATAAAAAACCGACTCTTAAAAAACTTACCTGAACTTCAGTTTTCAGTTCAGACACAGGTGAAGAACAATCGGAGTAGGCCTTCAAATTAGTCTCGGAGTCATTTGACTTATAAAGATCTGAACTATCTGTGTACTGAAATTTATTTGAAGAAACCGATTGTGATGGTGAGACTGTATCCATTTGATTTTTTTCAAAATGACCGAAAGTGAGCGGATCAAAATCGCTACCTGTTAGTAATGCGACGCCAGGACTATTTATTTTTGGTGGTGGAGCTAAATCTAAGGAAGAAACATGTCCACTGGAAATTAGATTACGTTGGCTTCTAGGATTGCAAGAAAAATAATGAAAATAGTCAGTTGTAAGGCGTCAACTACTAAATGCATATCATATTCAACATTTGATAACTGCAGTAGTGTGAAGAATTGAAGTGAAACGGTCTGGATTACTGACCACATGATTAAAAAGACAGGAAAAAATCTGAAGAGGTATGACACTATCGATAATGAATATTCTACTAAAGCATACTCTTGGTCTAAAATCATTCGTACGATGAGGCGAAACCTAACAAACACAGTCTCCTTCACATACACATGTGACAAAAAATCCAAGAACACAAAAGGAATAGAGGTACCTAACCTTGGCAGATGACAATTACACTAACTGGACAAAAGAAAGTGGCTTAGTATGTTTTTCAACTACGATTATAATTCCAAATCTTATAAATCAATAACTGTATTCGACTAACTTATAGCTTTGAATGAACACATAGTTTTACATTATTTTCAAATATCTTCTCAACTATAACAAGTTGCTAATTTATTCTTTTTACCGTATCCGAGAAACCTTGTAAACTATAAACTTGTAATAAACGCTTATGAGAACACTAGGGTGGGTTATTATTATTATTATAATCAGGTTTATTCAATATTATATTTTCGGTACAGTATAGAATTCTCAGCGTAAAGTATTTCAACAAGTTTCCGTTTCTTTCTTCTTGGTCGGTCCTGGCGATAAATATTGAGTGATCGCCAGTTAGATGTTAGCAGTTCAGTAAATGAACATCTGACTAATGTGCATTCTTTTCGTTGTATATTGCCAGCAACCACATTTTCTCTTGAGTTTTTTGTAACTTTGACAACGAAAGGTTGTACACTTTTCAGAAACGCAGCAGAATAGGTTATGCGACTAATAAACATAGTGATATATTAAAACAAACAAAAATAGATAACTTGTTGAAATATCTAGATGGCAGGAACAGGTAGCCCAGATGATCAAACAGGCCGCCGAAGATCAGTCTTGGTACAGATATTTCCATGAACTATTTAATGCCCTAATATGTTTAATCGTTTGGATAAGAAAATATTTTAAGGAAATGTTGAACAATTACACATTCCACCTACTTGGCTTTACGAAGGCGATCTTTTACTTCTTCCTTACGTCTTTCGTTCTCCCTACTCTCACGCTCTTGAAGTAAGGCAAATTTTGTTGCCTCAGTGAGTAAGGCTTGACGACGTTTTTCACGCCAAACATCCAACTTCTAAAAGTAAACATAGAGTACATAATTGGAAAAAAACCGAATAAATCCGATGTTTGTTTATTGATGATTTATAATCGGTTATAAAACTTACAGTCGACCAGAAATCCTATCAATTAAGAAAATTAATAAACCTAAGAAATTTCATGACAAAAGGGATTGGGCAATTAGAACCAAATCTATAATATTAAAAATCTGAACAGTATAGCGAAAGTTATAACATTTAGTTAAATAGATATCCGAATGATAAGAGATACTTTTCAAAGACACAAATATCTACCACGCATAACGCAACTACTGGATAATGATGATAAGAGCAAAATGTTTACTGTTAGTATTCTGTTTTTAAACAGCAGTTAAGAAGTTTAGCAGCAGCGTTTCTCTTAAGAAATCAATTTACGTAATTACTGTTGAGCTACCTGATGAATACAGTTACTTGGCCCATCATCATTTTAGGTTTAGATTACCATTTTATAAGAGACTGTCAAACCCTGTTACATATTTTGATAAGTGAATGTTCCATAAATTTCTACTTGATTGCTGAATTACATCACTAATGTATACTTAGTTAACTGACCGTGACCGACTGTATGCTCATTATCAAGCCAAGTATCAACTTAACAGTATATTGGTGACTATATGAAAACATAAGGCGTCATAAAACTATGACAACTGACGATCATATTCACTTAGGATAATAAGGAGCTGACAAATAACTTTAGTTGACTGGCTTTGATAACGAAATGATGGGGTCGACCATGAGAAAAAAATATCTCAACCTTGTTCAGTTACAAAATGTGATTCACCTAAAATGAAACTAAGTGATTAGGAAAAAATATCGAAGTATATTTGTGATATCGACTAGTTATCAATGAAGAAATGTCTGACATATGTCACAGAACAGTGTTTCAAAATACAAAAAGTATGACTGTTAAAAGGAATACATCAGTCGTCATGTAAATATCTGTGAAAGATTAAAGCTGAAGCATCTAGATGTTGAATGACATACGGGAAACCAGACCCCATACTTTGATGACGAATTGAGAAAAGAATAGAAAAAGATATACACGATATTCTAAATCTATGTCGTATACATGAGGCTATACGATCTAAGTTATTATATAGTTACAACTTAAAATAATCTTGTTGAGACTAAGGATGCTGTTAGTGAACCATGAACTTAAAGTGAACGTCAAGTATCTTGGTGTATAAGTCGATTTTGAAGGAATGTCAACAAGTGAAAGTATTTGGCTGTATTTCCTTCTGCAGACAACCTTAACTTTCTAAATCAATTTTCCTCACTTACTATTTTTAAATATTTCAGGACGAAAATTTCATATTACGCAAAGGATGAGGTAAGAAAAAAACACTGGAAAGAAGATTACTGAACACCCTTACCGACTGCCATTCTTCTTCCTCTTCAAAACAATTATTATTTCCCTGTAGGTATTCCACACCAGGTGCTGATTGCTGTCGATCGGTAATTTTGAAGTGAGGCTTTTCCTCAAAATTGGGTGATGACGAATGAGAGATACTCATTGTTTAGTAGTTTGGGAATCTTGAAAAATAACATAAGACAAAGCTCCACAATCATATTAGGTCAAGAGTGTGTGGCATATTCATTTTGTGAGATCTAATGAGATTGCTAAGTTGTGCAAAATGAAGTATGTTGAAAAACACTTTAAATTAAATAAGTCTCCAGTTAGATGAACTATTATCATTAGGATGATAAAGTGACCATGTTTGATATATTTATCTAACGCATTAATTTTAAGAACCTGTAGGAACTGAGAGGTGATTTGAACTGACATCCGTTGGTACATCGTAATTCTCTGATTCGCGTGGTAAGTATTACGGCACTTCATAACCTGTAGATTCTGCTTATTTTGTTTGTTTTATTAATAACATAAAAACTTTAAAATGCGAAACTTTCGGTGTTAATATCTGTTTCACTGTCATTACATATCACAGCATCCCACACTAGATATAGTATTCTGGTATTTTAAAAATGTGGATGAAACTAAATAACTTAAAGCAATATAAGCAGCACAATTACATTCTTCTCCATTTTGTCTGATGCTTTACTTTCTGAATCGAATCGAACAAACGGAACCACCAGTTGTGCATCATTTTAATACAGTAAAAATTAGGAAAAGAATTGGTTGCATCGGTAACGAAAAAGTAATTAACGATTCAAAAATGGTATTGATTGCAAAAAATGACACCTGTGATCTGTTCCTTGATTCTGTTTCACAGCATACTGATCATTGACATAAGCAAGTGTATGAGAGTCAGCTACAACGTAGGACCAGGCACATATATGCATGGGTCCAAATTGTTACACAGCACAACAAGGTGAACACCGAATTTATACATGTATGAGAGATGGCATATGAAGATCTAGTAAAAAAACTCGATAATATTATGTATTACATATCTAACAAAATAAAATTTTAGGTGCTGAGGCTTCGTAAAAATTCAATGAGATTCAACCGTACTTAACCTGATATCTACCAATGAATTCCCACATCACTGTGTGAAAATGTAATCACTTTTAAGCAGTAATGTCAGTTTATACACTCTTACTTCATTTTTTCGGTAAAATACTTTTCGAAAATAAATGTTGAAAGTTAATGGAATAAGTAAGATGGGTTGAAAGTGATGCATACAGAGGTTATTATTTCAAACGGGGAATAAGAATTTACTCCATATACTTTAATAATAATGAGAACTAAATAAATCTACGGAATTTTAGGCCTTAAGTATCCCAATTAAAATATAAAGATAACGCTTAGGAAATAATTATAGGAAGAAGCTTACCTTACGTGAAATGAAGCTGCTAAATCCTCACTATCATTACCAATGAGCTTTGATTCCGGCAAACAAAGTTCATTTACATAGAGAGGAACTGCTTGAAACTGTCCTATACAAATAAGAGTATTCTACAATAACAAGAATTGTGAAATAAAACGGTACAGAATAATGCTTTGGACAAACATCAAACCAGAAAAAGAAATACATGCATTGACTCATACCTTTTAGGCTTTGTACTTATAAGTTCAGTAATAGCACGTTGTACGGTCTCAATACATTCATTTGAGCCTGAAGTTAACATATAATTAATACTAAAGGTATCTATTCCACTAATTCTTATCTTTAGAAATAACAACAACATTAATCCTTTTTCCATCTTGCCCGTGACTTGTGGTATCCGTTACTCCACTGCACTGAAATAACAATATTGAAGTATTCTGGAGCCATAGAAACAGATGCATACTTTGAAAGGATGGTGACTACGCAGTCATAATAAAATCCAAGATGGTCGATTTACACTTTCAAAAGCATTTATGATAAATCCAAGTGGTGAGTGAAATAACACAACTGTATATAGTTACGCAGCTCCAAGAAATTATTGAATACGGAGTCATATGGATGACAAACTATAGCTATGGATGATAAACCCGACATATATTATATCATAAACGTAGAGTTACTGTTATCTTTGAATGTTTATACCACAACTGCTTATAATGAAGAATTACAAAATTAACTCAGAAGTTGTAGAGGTAGTATACTACTGTAACTACGCGCTTATATGTAGTACTGAGGTAGCCAACTAATAATAACTTTTGGTGAAACTTGCGTCTTTGCTTTCTATTGCTTACGAGTCACTTGATTTTGAAGTCTTGATTCTTTAGAGTAGAAAGCCGTCGCATTATATCGAAAATTGCTACTGTACACACTTGAGTAAAGCCAGAAAAGTCAGGGAACAAATGTTGTGATTGTCAAGGTAAAACTACACACAAATAATGGTTTCCACAACTGTGAATAATTAAAAGCAGCTAATTTACAAGTCCACAGAGGTTAATTAGAAAGATAATCGAAAAAATAAAAGTCTACTCTAAATTAGAGTGTATCATCAATCTAAATTGCTTTATTGTCATTGAAATCATAAACCGATCTAAGTCAAACCACCATTGACAGTCTGGAAGGATTAGACCGCCATTTTGTACTAACATGGTGCTTGCGGATGCGCACTGTTGAGTCCCACACCATTACGAGACGACTGTTCAGTGCTTGCAGGCTTTCAGTGATGGTCCAAATTAGATTGGTTCGCGATTTAAACAACCTCCGCAACTCACTGACAACTACCACATGTTCACTAGAGACCAGCTTCGAGAAGGAATTTACGGAGTTCTAGTGAAAAGCCGTTACTGGTGGAGCTAATCCACATCGGATATGAGATGGAAACGAACCGAAGACAATGCAATACGGTAACGCAATGTTGTGGATTGACTGAAGTTACATTTCAACACCATTAGATGCCGACTCAGTGGTCTAGAGGTTAAGCGTGTGTGAGAGACTGGAGGTCCTGGGTTCGATTGCCATGTGCAGGATCGTCGGTAACCACTGTCAAAAAGTCCCGTGAGAGAGTAAAACGGACATCCAGTGCTTTTAGGCTTTCAATGGTGGTCTAACCTACATCACCTCGTGATTTCAACGAAATGATACAATTGATGTCGCCTTAATTAAATTTATAAATAGGAAAAGTTGTATAGAATGGCACTTTTTCGTTCATGTTTTTTAGAATATGGCCTCTCTGAAGTAGAGTCTAATAGCTTCCGGTATTTTGTCAACGTCATCTTAAGGAATTCGACGTAAGCCACCGTCAACACGATTGGGGTAATATCGAGAACAACAAGTGGGTATTTAACCACGACGGTTATTTAGTCTATAATTAACTTATGAACGTCACCTTTAGTCCGAGCTTAGCCATAATATCTCAGTAGGGCGATTTACTGCTATTCAGTTGTATATTCGTAGGCGCTATTGATTTATGACATCGTGATAAGGAGTGTAATGAATTTGACAAAGTCGACATTGTCAGTAAGGTTGCTAGAATCTCTACAGCCTACCAATGATGTACGCAATTTAATAGCAAACAAAAATAGCGGAATTGTGATATGAAAAAGGTCGGTAACACCATAATACATGAGCCTACAACAAGAAACCTATTACTAACGGCATTTACGCTTTACAAGACAAAGGAACACACAGATAAGTAATCAAAAAGGGAAGATAAAATAATGAAAAAATTTAAGCAGGTTTGCGATTTATTTTTGAAATAAACTGGATGGTTTATTTTCTCGGCATAATACACATCGACTGGGAACTTACAATGATACCAAGAACTGTTTTATGTGGAACGATAACAGGAATAGAGAGTGTCCTAATAACAAGTGAACAAAATATCTTGTTTTATGACAAATATCACAGAACCACTAGTACATGTCATAAGAATAATCCGAGAAAGCTACGATAATTCACAACATCCTTGACACTTGACAAGAGCGCCATATGATTAACCGCGTCGATTTAATAAATGTAAAAGTTTAATAAGCCGTATGTAAATGAAATAAGCAGTCTGTTTTCGAATGACCTACTACCTAACAACCTTGGTCTGAAAAGGTCTCACAAAAGGTCAACAAAAAACACTTCCAAACGAGGACGTGGATCTTTGATCACTTCACGTAAATGCCCTATTAATACTTAGGTCGCCATAACTGGGAGCCAAATTATTTTTGTAAAAAGTGGTTGGCCCCAGACGAAAACGACCAAATGCAAGAACAAATTTTCTGGGCGAAGAAGGTAAAACACGAATACAAGAATATTGAGGGTTCTGACACAAATAATTGTAAATAACTATTTTGTAACTTGGGTCAGCTGTAATCAGATCATTGCAAAACTCCACTTGAAAATCTCTCTACTTGCAGAAAATTTTCAAAGAACTTTGGAGAAAAAAAGCACAATTGAGTGTTGTGTTGGAAAGTACCCTGTATTCGACAGAATCAAACTACATCGGTAACCAAAGGCTACTAAACAAAATAATCCAGTGACAGATAAGTAGGACGAAAATGAAGGCTAGTTATGCACTTAGCTAAGCTCATTCCGCCTCCACAGACCAGAAATCTTCAAACGATTCTGTTTTTGGATTTTCTCTTTAGTTGTCGCCAAGTTTTGATGTATGCCTCCATCTGGCAATGGCGTGTTTTCCTTAGTTTACCACTTTTCCCATTACCTTGAGAACTTCGAGTTGTCGACTTTCTCTGCGATGTAATTTCCTGATTTTCACAAATTGTATTTTGTCCACCTCCAACGTCGTCTTCGGAATTCCTTCCCAACTAGGAGTTGGTTTGTTATTCGTTACGCCAGGTTTTTGTTGATTGTCTCTAGCCAACGGATCTCGGATAGCTTGCTCAGACAACTTGTACCTGTTGGTGATGATTTTGATACTACTGTGGATTTCCGTTCCGCGCAAGTGAGCTAGTCCGACGTTTGTATTGAGAATTGTGACTACGTTCTGAAGTGACAGTTCTTAGTTATAAATGGAATGTCTTACTTCGTTTGTTATTCCATAACTTAACAATAACTTCAGAACGTCACTGTTTACTAACGGTTTTGACAAGTTGTTTAAATGATCCACTGTGTGAAATTTCGCTGCCTGTTGCCGTGATGTACTTTAGGATTTTGTTTGTCCCTTTAAAGCGGTAATGTCTGTTTACGCAAAAATTGCTGCCACACTAACCGTCCTGTTCTGCACATCCTATTATGTATGAGATAGATGGGCTTGATAATCTGTGGCGGAAATCGTCCAGGTGGGTCTCAGGTTTACTCTGTATTCAGTGCTCTTCCTGATATATGAATGTCCGCTTAGCAAATTCAAGTACCAGAAGAAACAGGAAAGGCAAGAGTAGGTAGCCTTGCGTGTAAGCACTGATATGCACAGTAGGTTCTCGAGCTGCCATGAACTCTTAGCTCAGTCCCGTGTGGTACTTCTTTACGATGATGGTCTTATAAGCTACTCCGTAGTTTCAAGAACATTCCGCAGGATTCTTCCATTTATACAGTTGAATGCCTTCATATAATCAAGAAAGCTGTTGTTTAGTGATGAGCTGCGTTCGACAGATTGCCAAAAATTCACTACAGTGCCAATATTTTGTTGGTATTTGATCTGTGCTTACGAAAACCTCATTGTCGATTGCGAGTATTGGCGTACACTAAATCTTTCTTTTGGTTGAATGACATTGTTGGGAAAAATTGGATAGTACAGAGAACAGTGTAATGATTCTGTAGTTCTCACACCTACTTAGATCTGCACTTTCTATATTTTGACGAGGCAGTCGGAAAATAACCCCATACATTTTAACAGGTACATTGGTATCCAACTTCAGCGCCTCATCTGACTTGTTGTCTGGTTTTTTTACATTGACAATCCTGATTTATCCGATGGTCTTGCCAATTTCTTCCACTGTATATTATATGTATTCTTTTTAAGGAGTTTGTGTGCACATTCGATGCTGTGTTCAGTGACACTTGTAGAAGTAATAGCCCTTCAGAGTGCACAGATTTTCCACCTTATTTAAACATCTGTAATTAATCACCTTTCGTTGTTTTCGTCTTATCACTCTCGCTTGCTACCTTTTCCTCCTAGCTTCTTGGTTATATGACACATTTCTCTATTGTTTATTTCTCGCATTTTCCGACGTAGCTGCCCGGCCTTATATATATTCCCTTTCTTGAACCTATTTTTTTCGCTTCTGTACATTTGGTCTGAGAATTTAATTGTCCTCGTTTTTAAAATTTTACCAAGAGCAACAACAGAGAATCATTATTTATGCTGATACCTCTTATGGAACGGCACCCCCTGTTATGCTGACCCATTTCTTCTAGTGCATCTTGTAAAGCTTAGAGATGATTGCAGAGAGCTGTTTTGAATTCTATAGGTTTGTTAGCATCTCAAACGGAAGTTGTATAAAACCTTTGTAGTGCCATTTGTCCAGTTGTCCGATACTTTCATGGCTTCAGCTTTTCTTCCATCACTTAGTAGTCAGAAACTTAACTAGATTCTTTATTTGCTCCTTTCCCTACACGAATCTCCTAAAGTTGTTTATTGATACAGATGTGACTGATCTGTACCTATATGAGTTGTTATTCTTACCGATAAATGGGGTATGTATTTGGTGAACTCCAAGGAATCCTGGTCTTCGCCTGGAGTTATCATAACTATCCTCAACTGAAAAATGTTAGAAGTGTTCCTTTTTACAGGACGAGCTTGATAACCCTCTACCCAACCCTCCTCATTTACTCGGGCCTAAGACCGACGGTAACCCTGCCTGTAGCTCTTCTAGAGTTACGGCCAGTCTCAAGCACGAGTAAAGGAGGCGGGTTGGGCATGGGGTTGACAACCCCATCCCGTAGAAAACCAATTTTTTTAAAACACGCTGACCAGAAAAAAGTGTTCAAACCACTTAAACTCTGCCCTGAGATTTAGAAGGTCATCATTTAGAAGAACTATGACGCCTCATGGTGAAAGCCGAGTTCCTTCGGAAGCCATGAGGCCGATACTCCTTCCAACAACCAGAGCAACAGCTTTTATGGGTACATGGAACGTCTGGACAATGCAGGAGACTGGGAAGACCAGTCAAATAGCGACGGAAATGAGGAGATACAACTTAGCAGTACTGGGAATCAGCGAAACCCATTGGACCCAAGCTGGACAACAAAGGCTAAATACGGGAGAAATGCTACTATACTCCGGCCACGAAGAGGAAAATGCTCCACACACTCAGAAAATTGCTCTAATGTTTTCCAAAGTAGCACGAAATGCACTTGTAGGATGGGAATCCCACGGATCCAGAATCATCAAAGCATCATTCAAAACAAAGAAGGAGGGGATCAAAATGAATATTATCCAATGTTATGCACCCACCAATGATAGCAACGACGATATTAAAGATCAGTTATACGAGCGGCTGCAGTCAATCATAGAGAAGTGCCCAAGAAAGGACCTCACCATTCTGATGGGAGATCTAAATGCCCAAGTCGGAATAGACAACACCGGATATGAAGATATCATGGGACGACATGGACTGGGAGAGAGAAACGAAAATGGAGAAAGATTTGCAAATCTGTATGCATTCAACAAATTGGTCCTAGGCAGCACAATTTTTCCACACAAACGTATACACAAAGCTACATGGATCTCACCGGACCACACTACAGGGAACCAGATAGGTCATATCTGCATCAATAAAAAATTTCGAAGGACAATGGAAGATGTGAGAACCAGGAGAGGTGCTGACATAGGTTCAGATCACCACCTAGTTGTAGCCAATTTAAAACTGAAGCTAAAGAACTGGACAAACAGCATTACAAAGGTTCAATACAGCCTTCCTTCGAGATACTAACAAAATCAACGAATTCAAGATAGCTCTCAACAACAGGTTCCAAGCCTTACAGGATCTACTGAAGGAAGAAGAAACTACTATGGAGGACAACTGGAAAAGTATCAAAGAAGCATTAACTTCAACGTGTTAAGAGGTTCTGGGTCTAAAGAAGCACCATCATAAGGAATGGATCTCTATAGAAACACTGGACAAGATCAAAGAAAGGAAGAACAAGAAGACAGCAATTAACAACAGCCGAACACGAACAGAGAAATTCCAAGCACAAACTGAATACATAGAAGCAAGCAAGCAAGTGAAGAAAAGCACTAGAGCCGACAAGAAGAAATACGTGGAAGAACTAGCAACGACGGCGGATACAACGAAGAAACTGGCAGGGAAATACAGTAAACCAGAGAGACCGGTCAAGGACTAAGAAGGCAGGCTAATCACTGAAATTCAACAACAGCGGAACAGATGGGTAAAGTACTTTGAGGAACTCCTGAATGGGCCAACTTCAATGAATCCCCCGGACATCAAAGCAGCGCACGCAAATCTTCCTATAGATGTCGACCCACCAACGACGGAAGAAATCAGAATGGCCATCAGACAAATCAAGAACGGGGAAGCAGCAGGACCCGACAATATACCAGCTGAAGCACTGAAGTCAGACATCAAAGTAACTGCAAACATGCTTCAGTTTCTAGTCAAGAAGATTCGAGAGGAGGAACAAGTGCCGACGGACTGGAAAGAAGGACACCTCATCAAGATTCCAAAGAAAGGAAACCTGAGCAAATGTGAAAACTACAAAGGAATCACACTACTGTCAGTACCAGGAAGTCTTTAACAGAGTTTTGCTGAACCGGATGAAAGATGCAGTAGACGCCCAACTTTGAGATCAGCAAGGGGGATTCCGTAAGGATCGGTCGTGCACAGACCAAATTGCGACACTACGGATCATCGTCGAACAATCAGTTGAGTGGAACTCGTCACTGAACATTATCTGGGACTCGTACGACGGAGTACAGTGCAAGGTCGTGCATGGAGGACAGCTGACAGATGCATTCCAAGTAAGGACCGGAGTCAGACAAAGCTGTCCACTCTCTCCCTTCCTCTTTCTTTTGGTGGTCGACTGGATTA